GAGCCAGCTGGAGAGTCTTACTGGAACATAGCTCTTCCTCTTATGATCAATGCCCAGACGCACTACTTGGAAACTCAATCCGGAGATGGTCGTCTTAAAAGGTCAAAGAGAGACCGGACACAGAAATATATAGTGTCTAGGGAAATCATGATAAAAAACGTTTATTGTTCAAAAAAATATCACAACTTTGCAATTATTTGTGATTATTGACATTTTTATGATCAATAAATCTCAAACTGTCTCCACAAGACACAAAATAACCTAAATGTATATAAATACATGCATACAATTATCATTATGATTGTTGCTAGAGATATATTTTCTCGGTCAAGAAATCCTCATGAGGAATTTATTTTCTTTTTTCAGTGTAACATGTGGGAGGACAAGAATTAATTAAAATAAAGCAATGAAAAGACCAACGGTTTATAAATTCACATTCAAATTCTTGTCTTGTATGATTGTCTGTGGGGGTAGCAGCTAAATAGATTAAATTAATATGAAAAGATTATTATTATTATTATTGTTATTCAGTATATAAATTGTGTAAAAATAGGCTAGGGTAATCCAAGAAAACTCTCAAATAAAACTAATGAAATCTTGTACATTCGAGTTGTAAAAATCCATTACATGGATCCTGCCCTGTTACTATCATTAATTACGATCTGTGCTGCAGTGTTTTACAGCGCTCCACATCATTAGTTATAATTTATGACATTAATAATCGAACCCGGGGTGATCCTATAGAGCCTTGGTGCGCATGTGTCCGCTGGTGCGTTGGTGCTCCCAGACCACAGCCGTATTTTCATTGTTAGATTCTGTCAAAGCGCCTCTTTGTACTATGGGGTACAAACACATGACTTTGAAAAATATCCTGCGGTAGGAGAGCAGCGGAGCCATCGAGGGTCTACGTTGCCTCATCAACAGAGATTTCAAAAGGCAGTGCAGAATTTCAATGGTGCTTCAAGGTTTTGCTAAAGGACAGGCTAGGAGTGTTGAAGGGAAGGCAGCCGAAGAGGACAGCTTATTATGGGCTGTTCAAATACTTTGCAATGACACCACCAACCTTTAAGGTCTAAAGTGGAGAGAAAATGCTGCCTGTCTCTCAACAAAAATCAACTCGGAAACGACCACAATCTAAAAAGGTGTTTTGCGAAATAGTTGTTTACAGCAGTGTTAAAGTATTCTCTAAATGCAACACGTCCAAATATGGCGTAACAGCTGTGCAGAGGAGGAATAAAGATAAGGAGTTGACAACGGCTTAAAATCACTGGTCTGAGGAGGCACTAAAATCCATGGCATAAGTCAGAGTGCTGTGTCAGGGACATTGGCACTCTATGCTCAGCGTTCATTCAAATACATTTAAGGTTCACAGCTTCAGAGAAACCAAAAAAGCTGCATATCTTTATATACCTGGTCACATTTTGTCGTCTTCAATATGTATAGTTAATGAATAAAAATATAAAGACGATGAATAAAACAAATACAATTACATATAAAAAGAAAAAATCTAATGCTGAGAACAAACAGGAAAAACTTAAATCCACTCACTGTCATTCATTTTTGTGCAAGTTCAGTATAATTCACTTTCTGCAAAAAACTTTTATTGGATAAAATCTCATTTTGCCGTATCAACTTGAACGTTTCCGTAGATAAGTAAAGGGTTACTGTGAACTTTCAGAAAAGACAGAATGAAGATGAACAAACTCAATTATGTCCTTCCTGTTTTACATAAAGCAAAGTAAGAAAACAGAATAAAGAAGCGATCACTTCAAACTAAACTGGAGCTGAACCCTCAGAGACTCCAGCTACAACTCTCCCCTTGTCGTTTCATGTGTTTAAGAAGTCTCAGTGTCCTGACCAGGGCCCTGTGGGACACATCATTATGTCCTTGTCAAGGCCAGATTTTAAATGGAGCTCCTGTTATTGATGTGTAAACATCTTGAGCAGAAGAGAGACTTCACAAACTGGCCACTCTAACAAAGGAGAAAAGGACAGTTCATCACAAGGACACCCACACACTCTGCCATGTTATCTCAACACCTGCAGGATTAGTCAAAGAAACTATTTCAAAAGCAATATGATAAAGCAAAGTTCACCATTTGTGAGAGTTTTGGAATTTCTACAAATGTAACAGAATCTGACAAAACAATTCTGTCATGGTAACAATCACAATATTGACTGGGATTTTGTGGTAAGGCTAGTGGAAGCTTCAACGCCCTGCAAGGGTCCTGACAGGGCTTAAATAATTCAACAAAGAAATGAAGCAAAGGACTATGGTCCACATACTCCCACACATACTTCTTCTAGTTGCATATTTTAACAACAACACAAAACAATTTAACAAAGCTCTGTACAGTAAAATATGTGCATGAGGAATGTCAACAGTACGGAGGCTTGTTAAGTTCACTTGTGAGTGTTTTTTTAGCTGGTATCATGTTATTTCATGATAGTTTCATGTTATTTCAAGATAATTTCATGTTCGTACAAGATACGGATCATGTTATTTCATGATATAAAGCTATCATGTTATTTCATGATACCAACTTATTATGAAATAACAAGATACTTTAGATACAGAAGAAGAAGCTGTAGACGTCAGACCATATGCCAGGAATGCGAAATGGCTCAGGCAAAGGACCCTCTTTGCACCTTTCAGCGACAGCGAGGGGTGTCAGAGGCATCGGATGCAGGAAGATCAAGTAAGAAATCAATGTGAATTTATGAACTACTATCACCATAATTACATATATCCGCAATGATTTATAATATTTCAGGATTGTAAACAATGAAATAAAAAGGTCGAACAGGGATTACATGTTCTCCCCGTGTCTGTGTAGGTTTCCTCCGGGTGCTCCGGTTTCCCCTACCACTAAAAACATGTGCAATAGGTCTGGCATGCGCCTCCTGTACTGGCGACCCAGCTCCCATCTCTGTGTGGAGTGAGAGGACAAATATCCAAAAATAACAATTGTAAACCGCTTTGTGACTCTGGTCTGTGAAAGGCGGTATATTAATAAAGATTACTTACTACTTACTTACTTGTAACAGAGCTAACGTGCACGGCTACAGCCTACTACTGTTCATGCAGTTTAGCGCTATATATTAACAATAAAATTATTCCCTATTATTCTGACCCTATTTGGTCATTATTTCTATAACAATGGTTTAATTTAAGGCCAGCAAATACAGTTTAGCCTTTAACTTGACCATCATGGGAAATACAAAGCTATAGGCTGACAAGCTAACACGCCAGCCTCACGGTGCTAAATATGTAATTATGGCGATAGCCATTCATAACTTCACATTGATTACTTACTCGATCTTCCTGCATCCACAACAAAGATACCTCTGACACCCCTCGCTGTCGCAGAAAGGTGCAAAGCAGGTCCTTTGCCTGAGCCATTCCACATTCCTGGCATATGGTCTGGCCATAGACTGTAAATATTAAAGGGATGGCATCTACAACTTCTTCTTCTGTATCTACAGTATCTTGTTATTTCATAATAAATTGGTATAATGAAAAAACTTGATAGTTGTATATCATGAAATAACATGGTGTTTATGTTGTTATTTCATAATAAATTGTTAGCATGAAATAACATGATAGTTGTATATCATGAAATAACATGAAATTATCTGAAATAACATGATACCAGCGGGAAAAAAACACACAAGTGAACCTAACAAGCTTCCGTACAACAAGGACAGGGAAACTCTATTTGCAATTAATAATTTTAAACGACAAAATGTGGTACGCTGAGATCTTAAAAATGAGTGTGTTGTCAATTGTGTTTTTAAAAAAATAAAAAAGATTTATTAAAATCCAATCCATATTAAAATTAAAATTTAGCAATAAATTGAAGTAGCCACACACACAGTAGCAGTAGCCCAGTGCACTGTCCTCCGTGCGTCAATCTGTGAAGAATGAGGACTGGTTATTTTATTATAACTTGTATGCTCTAAATTAAATTTTGTGTTGATCTACTTTTCTACACATCTACTGTTTCAACAACCTGCTCAGGAACTGCAGGTGTAAGTTAGCACTCCTGCTACAACCTGGTACAATGCATCTCTCCTTTTGGTTAATGTTTATTTTACACTGTCCCTGTAAAAAAATAAAACATCATATAATACCATAACATATACAACGTTCCTGACATAATATACATGAATATATTAAGGAAGTTTTATAATTAGTTTTCCCATATTTGTCCATACGCTGTAGTGTATTATAGCAGAAAGAACACCTTTAAGATAAGATAAGATAAGAGTTCCTTTATTCGTCCCACAGTGGGGAAATTTCGAAGAAGAATCCACCTTCTATTGCAACACCATAGTTCATATTCATGTAGCGGTTTCTTTGCAACTTACACGTTGTGTGTATAAAAATGTGCATGAACACCTTTCATTTGTCCTCCCTGATTGTGCATGAAGTATCCAGGTTTTCAGTGAGACAAAATGACAGCCCAGTCAGCTGTGGATCCACATTCATGTCAGTCTGCCAAATGCTCAGCTTCCTCATTTGCTAGTTATTGAAAAGATTCACAAAGAAGGTTGAGAGCTAAAAATACTACTTTCAGATAGACGGTGCAAATTCAAATTAAACTTGTCTTCTAACAAAGAAGAATTCATGCATCATTTAGGAAGTCCAATATTGACAAAATAGATTTTTCTAAGTCATATGCAAATCCAATCAGGAATGTGCTGAAATCCTAAATGCATTTTGAACAGTACAAGATTTTCATTTCATTTTTGAGCTTGTTTGTTGAATGTTTATATTACCCACTCAATATTGTAATTTAGCATCTGCAATATTCATTATTCACACATAATATCCACCACCATAAACGCTTGCTCATTAACATACATGTAAATATGTAAAAGCTGCTGATTATCAAGCCTGTCCCTCCTGCTTGCTAACAAGGTCAACTATAGCCCTAGTTCTTAAACAATGAGAGGGGGTTTAATCAAATGGCGGTCTAATGCAGTGGGACCGTGCCATGCCTGGAGCTGTCCATCAGATCGAAAAGGGCACGATGGGCGAGGATCCAAACAGGCCCAGAGAGCTTCCCGGCCTGCTGTTGTTGCTCACTCCTCATTCTCAAGGACCTTTAGAGATCAAAGACCAACACACAACAAGAAAGGCAAGCACCAAGGAGACGGAGATAGGAGGAGATGGAGCAGAGCGTAGGAGAGGAAAGCAGGAAGGATGCTGCGAAAGAGGAGAACCCATGTGGCCTTCACTGATTACTCAACGTCAGACCACCCGCTGAGTCCAAAGAGCAGTCAGAGGGATTTCCTAGAGATTGTCTGTGAAACATCCACTTGTATCCGTAGCCATGAAGCTTCTTCCGACCCAAGTCCGTCCCAGCATTTGATATTTCATGGGGTGGAAAATGCGCTCCTTTTATAGTCTGAAAAAGCAAAGTATTCTCCGAGGAGAGGCTGAAGTAGTACCTCTCCTCCTGCTTTAAGTTTCAACCAAAAGAAAAAGACACACTGTATTCTTCTACCGGTCAGTGATGTTGTTTAACCTTGGTTAAAAAAAATGGGATAAGCAACAGAGCTGAACAAATAGTGAGCTACATGAAGCGTTACGAAACGACTCTGAGCAGCTAAAAATGGACAACAAAAATAAAAGTGAGAGACCAAGCTTCCTAAATATGAGCTGAAGTCTGTGCTCAGTCCAGCTGCACACAATTTCATCCAAGATTTCCTCAAGGACCTCAAGTCAAATAGTGTTTGTTCAAAAGGCTCTACTCCATCAGTATCAGGAAGAGGGGAGAAATTCATAAAGGCTACATCTAATCCAGTGATGTGCTACAAAGGATGAGCTAAAAATACAAAAGAAAATATGATGCAAACTGAAACAATATTCAGGATAAAATGGTTTAGCCACAATGGACCATGAATTTTAAAACGCTTTTGAATGCTCTGTGAGTCAGCAGTGAGTGTGGCAGCTGTATATAAGCCACTTTCCAGAGCACGGAAATCTGTCCTTAGAAAGCATCATCACAGGAATACACAATAAGAGACTGTATCCTAGATTTAAAACACTATAAGGGACTATATCCTAGATTTAAAACGCAAAGACGTAATGATGAGAAGCTGTCACATAAAGTCTAACATTAACACAGTTGATTTGACTAAATTCATCTTTCTGTTGTTTTTATTTTATTTATTAAACTTGTATGGTTACTTAAGAAAGTAAGTCAGTAACAGGCAACACAGTGGTGCAGTGGTTAGCGACTGTGCTTCACTGCAAGAAGGTCCTAGGTTCGATTCCACTTTCAGGCTTTTCTGTGTGGAGTTTGCATGTTCTTCCCCCACCACTAAATACATGTACAATAGGCCTGTATGTAATGTGAGAGTGAATGGATGGATTTGCTGGGCCCAATTTGGAACATTATGTCATCACAGATATGTGAGGGGTGAATGGAAATTACCGGTTCACCAAAATTATAACGTTTTGTGTGACCTTGGTTTGCGAAATGCACTATATAAATAAAGATCACTCACTTACTTACTTATATTTCCATAAGTCACACACTGCAGTAGAAGAAAAGCATACATGAATTGCACAATATCTCCCCGTCCCAATTTTGTTGCAATGTTCAGACTACATTGTATTTCCTGAGGAGTCATTTTCTTTTGAACACTCTCAGAATATGGAACATTGTGGCGGTTTATTGAAGCATACACACACAGATCAAGTGGAGAACTCATTTCCTTTATCTAGTAAATAAAGTTAAACTGTATTACGAAATGGTTCCATACAAAAGTCCTGATCCAGCGGTTTGAGGAGCAAGGTAGAAATCTTTGGCGTGAAAACCTGAATGGCTTTGCAGCTCAGTGATCACATGAGGGAAAGAGACGGAAGATAAGAGCAAAACACAGAGAGAGAAGGATGGAGGAGTGGGGAAGAAATCGAAGACACAAGCTGCGTTCAATTTAGAAGCTTCCCATAGGAGGTAGAGTGACCCGTCTCGGCTACAATAGAGGTCATGCAATTTTGAGTGGATATTCCTGTCTTCAGAGGATACGGAGGACCCCTACCTAGAAGGACACACCTGGGGAGAAAAAAGAAAAGGCAAAAGGTTCCTCATAACATGCAAGACCACCTTCAGGGAGCTAAGTGAGGGTTCCTATTACGGCCACACTGTGCTATTGATACTTGACAGAGCTCCAAAGCTGGCATAGCGGAGAGCAAACGGATCCACGCAATTTACTACCAGGACACCCTGACTTTGCAACTTGTGGATGTTCCCCCAGGTACATGTTGAGAAGCAGACCAACCAAAAAGCAACCAAATTTTCCAATTTCATATATAATTTTTTTTCAATGATTAATCCTGATATTAACAAGAATAAATGTCCAAAACTGATTACTTAAAAGACCTGTATTAAGAAAGATTACCAATATCACTGGGTTATATTGGGTAACAGAAATTAATCGGAACAGAAAACTACAGGTCATTGAACACTCTGCGATAACCTTTTACTAGAGAAATCCCAGGTTACAGATTTCATACAAATCATTACATTGAGTGGAAAATATGAAATCAGAAAACGTATCAACACAAAGATGGACAAACATGACCTTTAATTTCTGCTCATCGCCCTGAGAAGCTAATGAACATTTCTGTAAACATTTGCAATTGGAAGGAGTCGTTTTAATTACTCTCCATAGAGAACGCTGTGGATGTCGAGTAACCCAAATGAAGATCAACATTTAATCAGGCGTGACCTTGTATTTGATGCGATTTGTCGTCCATAAAAGGGGTGGAATTACAACAGTTCAGGTGTGGCCGTAATCTTGGTAGTAAATCACAATACCAAGACGGAGGGATAGTACAAAGTTGTCCGGGGAAAGTCTAATTTCTCTAATAGGCATCCTTCTAATCCATACAGGAGAAGGCTTTTATCCAGCTACTATACTTTAATGAGGTCAGGATTCTCCGAAGGGGATGCTCCAGAAATTAAACCAAGAGTTTCCAGCCAAAGTTGTGCATTGACGCTGCTGTTACATGCTGCAAACCACATTACAGAGACCAATAAGAGAGGGCTGAAATTCAGAAGGAAATAGATACTCCACTCTGTACATTCCACAAGGCACTGGGTAATAAGTGCGTATGGAGGACGCAGCTTCCATATCAATCAAAAAGGTTTTGGTCAGGCCCAAAGGAGACAGTTGAACATACAAGTATTTTTCATTTCTGATATAAGATTCAGAAGAAAGTTCACCTTTTATGATTACAGCTAAAGCCATGCAGCCCCAAAGCAAAAGATGTTTATATACTATGAAATATATTTAACAAAGTGGTATTTATTTATAAGATATATTAATGACATGTTTATACACATTAAAGTCATGCTTTACAACATTATAGGATACTCATTTTTTGATTTTGGTGAAGACAGCAGGTGTGACTCGGTCACACCTGCTGTTTGTGGGTGAGATTCAGACTGATTATTGTTGTTGTGGTTCATTGTCAGTTCAGAGGCAGCTGAGTGGAGCATTGTTGCTGCTTCTGTCACAGAAGCTTAGGCCCATACTCCTCCTCCCTCCACCACCATGCACATGCTGTGTTTGCCAAGACTGTGCGAGTGACTGGGAACACTCACTCTTCCAAACTGACATTTTCTTCGTTTGTCAATGCTTTTCAAATGTCACTAGTGGAGCAACTTGTTAGAAGTCATAAGGTTCATGTCTACAAGGATTCTACACAAAAAGGTGGTCGCGTCAGCATGTAAGAGCAGCAGAAATATTGCTTGGTCTTTTGCGCAAGTCTTTGCTTTCAAGTTGTAAAGGCTGCCATTCAAACTGTGTCACAGCTATAGAAGCCACTGAGAAATGAATTATTTAATAGGCAAACAAACTCCAGGAATAAAATGTGTATTTTTCTGATCACAGACAGTGAATATCCAAACTAAAATATGTGTTTGGGAGAAATGACAAAAAAATCATTTTCCGTTGTTGTGGTCTACACAGTGTAACCACAAACATGGTTCGACTCTGTTTGATCTTTTAAAGGGACACGCGCCTGCAGCTCTCCCTGTGTGAGACGTCCTTCTTTAAAAAGATTGTAATCTCGACTGAAATGTCTGGCAAAATAGAGGTCAGGGAAGCAGAGCAGCAGAAAGACAACAGCAGTTCACTGCAGACCTCTGTGTGGATTTGTTTCTGTGTCAGAGAAAGACAGAGCACATAAGTTCCTTAGTATTGAAATATTATACGTTAATTTTGAATAATATAATGCATTCATCAAATAAGTTTCCGCTTCCTGTCCCTTTATATATTCCTGAAACAGTGTTTAGCCTGCTGGATACTCTTACACAGCGGCAGGTCTTCCTCTCACATTGGTAATTCAGGCTCAGCTCCTCTGCACATTGCATGGTGCTCATGATTCAATGACAAGCTCTATGTAGGCTCTAAACTCCCGGCCCCTCCCTTGAATTGTGATTCGATTGGTTTATCAAATTTTGTGGTAAATGCTTGAAATGTATTCCAGCCCACCTTCATCTAATGAAGCTGCACTGGGGAAGTGTGCCAAAGAGAGAGAAATGAATACTTCTGTATTAGCTTCACACCAACAAAGCTCACTTACTCTCTTTCCACATTACACTATCAGGCACAGACTCGGGTCCTCAATAGTTTCCACTCAAACTCAAATTAAGTCTGTAGATCTTCTGGAAAAAGATTCAAATGCACCACTGCTTTATATTTCCCAGAAACACATTTGAAAAGTAAAAACATTTACTGTTGTGACATGATGTAATGAATCTAAAACGATTTTCTCATATTTGTTTTTCTTAATTGGATTTATAAATCAGGATTAAACAGCCTTTCAATGATTGATTAATAAAATAAATATGCTTTGAAGCAAACACGGCTTCCTGACCTGCAGTCATTTCATCTTCAGCTGAAGCCATTATGACATCTTCAAAGAATGAAAATGACCCAGCTGATCCAGAGCTGTCGCGTTCTGTATGCCTCTCCATTGTGAGAAAGGCCCTAACAGCCCAACACATCCACAGTGCAGCTTTACATACTTGATATTCATAGAAAAGAACAACGCTAAGTAAATGGCCTCCAATCACTTTTCTTTTTGCTCAAATGAACATGAACAATCGAGACGAAAAGCCGCAGTGGCCCGCAGACAGGAGCGGCTCTGTGCACCAGACTACTGAGATCCCTTATATGTAAAAGGCGGGAAATTAGTGCATTAAGCATGCTGCGCTGGTGCCAGAAATATGCACTGAATTGATGAGGT